ATAATCTACAAGAAAATCCAACACCTCTACAACAAAAAGACAAATAATCCTATTTAAAAATGGGCAAAGGAAATGAACAGACACTTCACCAAAGAAGACATTCAAGCAGCCAACAGACACATGAGGAAATGCTCGCAATCATCAGCCATGAGAGAAATGCTAATTAAAACCACAATGAGATACCATCTCGCCCCAGCATTACTGGCATGAACCAAAAACACTGGAAATAACAAACGTTGGAGAGGCTGCGGGGAGATCGGAACTCTTACACACTGCTGGTGGGAATACATAATGATACAACTGTTTTGGAAAATGATGTGGCACTTCCTTAGAAAGCTAGAAATGGAAATACCATAGGATCCAGCAATCCCACTCCTAGGAATATATCCTAGAGAAATAGGAGCCATCACACAAATAGACATATGCACACCCATATTCATGCAGCATTGTTCACAATAGCAAAAAAGTGGAAACAAGCTAGATGCCCATCGACAGATGAATGGATAAACAAACTGGTACATACACGCAATGGAGTGTTATGCAACAATAAAGAACAGTGATGAATCTCTGAAGCGTCTCATAACATCGATGAAACTGGAGGACATTATGCTGAGTGAAATGAGTCAGTCACAAAAGGACAAATACTGTATGAGACCTCTACTGTAAATAACTCATGAGAAAGTTTACACACAAAAAGTAATAACCTTTGTTGGTTACAAGGGGTGGGAGGAGGAAAATACTATATAGGCAATAGATAAGTGGTAACTTTGGTGAAGAGTAAGACAGTACACAATACTGGGGAAGCCAGCACAACTTGTACAACGAAATGTCATGGAAGCTCCATAGACACATCCAGACTCCCTGAGGGACTGAATTGCTGAGCGGAGGGCTGTGGGGACCATGCTCTCGGGAAACATCTAGCTCAATTGCCATAACAGTTTATAAAGACCGTGTTCTGCATTCTACCTTGGTGAGTAGCATCTGGAGTCTTAAAAGCCTGTGAGCAGCCATCTAAGATACTACACTGCTCTCACCCCTTCGGGAGCAACTAGTCAGGGAGAATGAAGAGAACAGGATACAAGGAAAAGATTAGTCCAAGGGACTAATGGACCACAGCTACCAAGGCTTCCACCAGGCTGAGTCCAGTACAACTAGATGGTACCCAGCTACCACCACTGACTGCTCTGACCAGATGACAACAGAGGGTCCTGGACAGAGCTGGAGAAGGATGTAGAACAAAACTCTAATACACAAAAGAGGACCAGATTTACTGGCCCGACAGAGACTGGAGAAACCCCGAGAGTATGGCCCCTGGACACCCTTTTAGCTCAGTGGTGAAGTCACTGCCGAAGTTCACTATTCAGCTGGGGATTGGACAGCCCCATAAAGCAAAATGGGACTAATGAGGCACAGCAGTCCAGATACAAGCACTAGAAGGCAGGAGGGGACAGGAAAGCTGGTGATAAGGAACCCAAGCTTGAGAAAGTGCAGTGTTGACATGTTGTGGGGTTGTTAACCACTGTCACAGGGCAATATGTGTACTGTTTAATGAGAAACTTTTCTGTTCTGTAAACCTTCACCTAAAGTACAAAAAAAAAGAAAAGAATTACCTATGTGAGATCAAATTGACAACAGCAACTCAAAAGGTTTGATGGGAAGCCTAGGGGACAGTGAGTTGAAGATAATGGTGATGGAATAATTTGGAAAAGGTTAATAATTTGGAAAAGGACAACTGGAAGAACATAATGGATGTCACTGAATTGTACATGTAGAAATTTTTGAAATGGTATGTTTCCACCAAAAAAGAAAAAAGGTCCTCCAACGTCGATAAGGGAGAGTGTTGACATGTTGTTGGTTTTGTTAACCAATGTCATAAAACAGTATGCCTACTGACTGTGTAATGAGAAACTATTCTGTAAACCTTCACCTAAAGTACAATAAAAAAAAAAAAAATTGCACCCAGGTTATTTATGTGTTTGTCTTATTTCAGGGAGCCTGGGTGATACAGTGGTTAAAGCGATTGACTGCTAACTGAGAGGTCGACAGTTCAAAACCACCAGCCGCTCCCCGGGAGAAAGGGCAGTCTGCTTCCGTAGAGATTTACAGCCTTGGAAACCCTATGGGGTCGCTATGAGTAGGAATTGACGTGACGGCTGTGGGTTTGGGTGTTGGGTATCTTATTTCCTCTTCCACCTCTCTCTTCTACTTAATTGGTATAGACTGCAGGAAGAAAAGAGATCCTCTTCTCCCCATGAGATGTTTGACCACCTGAGAACAGCAGATGTGGGATGAGTTTTTCTTTACAACATAGCTGAAAATTCTGAGAAACTCAGGAAATGCCAAGTGCTGCATTAATTTAGGCTGATTAGTAAAATGTTCTCACTGTATAATATGTGTGCCTGCATGTATAAATCAGATGTTACATTAAAAGCACTTAGGGAAATCTGTTATTTATAAAGAAATTCTTTCACAAATATTTTTGAAAAATGAATAAAAATTTTAACTTCTTTTGGTGATTCTGATTTTTTTTATAGCAGACTTGACTGAAGTAAAGATGTTTTATATTTATTACCTCCACCACCTTCAACTTAATAAGGGATTTTTTTGTTAAGTTTTTTGTTGTTGTTTGTTTTGTTTTGTTTTGTTTTGTTTAACTTAAGACAACATTAATTCCGTTTCATACCCTATGGTTATGTCACTGGACACCAAGTGCTTCTTGAGTGTTTCTGTGTACCTGGCACTGTGCTGGACACTGGGAATACATAATTAAGTAAGACCTGGTCGTTGTCCTCAAGCAGTTCACTGTCAGGCTGGTGGAAGAAACAAATGAGTCAAGAGTTGCAGCATAGTGCATTAAGTGCTTGGTAGAGTTTGGAGCCCTGGTGGTGCAATGGTTAAGTGTGTAGCTGCTAACTGAAAGGTCAGCAGTTGAAACCCACCAGCCGCTCTGCTGGAGAAAGACGTGGCAGTCTGTTTCCATAAAGATTACAGCCTTGGAAACCCTATGGGGTAGTTCTGTTCTGTCCTATAGGGTCGCTATGAGTTGGAATCGGAATCAACTCAATGACAACGGGTTTAGAGTTTGGAGTAGTGAAGAGGTGGTGGTGGCCCAAGGTGGAGGCACAGCTGTTTGAGCTGAATCTTGAAGGGAATTAGCTAGGCTAAGGTGGTAGAAATGAAGAAGGGGTAGACCAAGGAAATCCAGGCAGAAAGAATACCCTGTACAGGGTCACTGTGGCTTTAAGAGCGTGGTTTGCTCAAGAGATCAGTTTGACGCAAAAGGAGATTGAAGAGGTAGGTAGGGTGATGAGTAATGTGGTTGAGAGGTAAGCAAAGGTCAGATTTTTTCAGTCAATAAATATTTATTGAGTGCCTAAAGGTATATTCTAGGTGCTGAGTATACAGAAGTGGACAATACAAAGTCTTGGCGCTTATATTTTAATAAATCATTTTTTACTGGTCCCTTCTGCCAGTTTTTCTTTTTTAAAGGAAGTGAATAATAACTAATCAGGCAGTCTTTTTTGCTTTTAGTGGAATCTAATCAGAAAAACTCATTCCAAGAAATTCCCAAACTTAATGAAGAACTACTCAGCAAACAAAAACAACTTGAGAAGATTGAATCTGGAGAGCTGGGCTTGAAGAGAGTCTGGATAAACATCACAGAAATGAATAAGCAGGTAGCAAAAGTGATATTTCTTTGTAAACCATGAATATTTAGTTTTGTTTTTATTTTTTGTTTGTTTTTGGTATGATTTTGTGGGTATAAGGAACTTGCTTCAGATTGTTTAATTTTCTGAAATGATGTCTTACATACTATGATCCCAACATATTAAAGTCAGGTAAAATAGATAATAGTGTGTATTTACCAAATATTTAAAATGTTAAATCTTTTTCTAAAGGAACAGAGTTTTACCAAGGAGAGGAAGTTGGAAAGTCTTAAGTCAGCTTTTCCTAAGGAGCAGTTTAGGAATCAGATTTAAAAAGGAACATCATTTAACCCTCAAGAAAAATGGATAGAAAAAAATAAAACCCACTGCCATCGAGTTGATTCTGACTCATAGTAATCCTATAGGACAGAGTAGAACTGCCCCACAGGGTTTCCAAGACTGTAAATCTTTATGGAAGCAGACTGCCACATCTTTCTCCTGTGGAGTAGCTAGTAGGTTCGAACTGCTGTTCGGTTAGCAGCCACACGGTTTAACCACTGCGCCACCAGGACCTCTTAGAAAAATGAATTGCCTGTTTTTATTAGCTAATGAGCTTTTTTTTGTTTAATGAAGTTAACAAACTTACAGAAGCAGCCTTGCAGTATAGTGCTATATAGTATCATTATCAGCTAATACTAGTTGTTCTAGACTAGCATAGGAGCAGGTGACAGAGTTGGTTAAATACCTTGGCCAGGCAAACAAGTCTAAAGCAAAAACTTTTTTAATCCCTAAATTGGCCAGAGTTCAGTATGCGTTGATTGTAAAAGAGGAACTCTGCCGCGGGAAAGAGGCTATTCAAAGGATATTGATTGAGCACCTCCTATGTATACGGTGCTGTTGTTCCCACTGGGTAACTTTAATCCCTGTCTTCAGTTTTTACAGTTATTTAGGACATATGCACTGGGAAAAAAATTGAGGTAAAGACACAACCAAGTACCAAATAAATGATACACTTGCAAAGTACTTAGAAATAGCTATGTCATCCTTCTTGGGGCTAAAAGAGTGTTACAAAGTTTAGAATCAGCCAGTGGCAGGGAGCACTGTGCTAGTCGAAAGTGCTTTCAAATATTTCTGAAGCCATCTCCACCTTTTGATAGTGGTGTGGGAGTGGGAGGCAGTTCAGCACTGAAGACCAAAAATCATTGAATGGTCTGGGGCAGTGGCTTTCAAACTTTTGCCTAGAACCCACAGTAAGCAATGTTTTATGTCTTTACCTACTAAATACATACACCTGTATAACTGAAACAAGTTTCTGTGAACAGTAGTTTATCCTTAATATATAATGCTGCCTTATAATATTTTCTATTCAGTTCTATTTCAGTTTTTAAAATTATTCATGGAATAATTGATGGATTGCAGCATTTAGTATTTACTAGTTGTCATACATCCTTGGACTCTCAGTAGTTAGAGGAAAGCAGGCATTCACCCTTTTTTTCAAAAATAATATGGCCTTGCTTGCATTCACAGTGCATATGAGCAGTTTGGCCAGAGATTATTACATCCAGGTGAAAGTAGACCACATTGAAGCACTGAGAAATAATTAGCATCTCTCACTGGGGCAAAACATGGATTCCATATGGACTGCCAGTCATGGAGTTTACCATTCTGAGAAGAGCATGAGATTGTTCAGGGTGAGGAGGCAAAATCAGCTATTTCCCATCTTCTTGTAAATGGGCATATAGGAAGAGTCAAAGGGGAAATTGGTACCTAGGGTGAGAGGACACACAGATTTTCAAATCTTTTAGTACATATTTTGGATTTTGAGTACTTTTTAACCAGAAATCTGGAAATGAATCATTTTCTTCTTGATCTGACTGTTATGAGGTCAGAAGAATGCAGTAGTCCTTGAAGACTCACTTTTCCATTTTATTCATGAAAACTCTGATTCTGTACCCATTCCCTCTCAACCATTATAGGGAGTCTCCTCACCCTTCTTTGGAGACCATTAATTCAACAGATGTTTACTGAGCTGCTTTTATGTAGCTAGGCCTTGAATTCAAAACCAAAAAAGTTTTGATCCCTGCCCTCAAGGATCTTACAGTCAATTAGAGGAGATAGAAGAGTAAACAATTGCACAACAGGCTGACAGGCAGTAAGAAACAGGTCCAAATATGTGTGTGGGAACTTTTAGAAGTATGTATCTAACCCAGACCAGCTGGAGCTGAGTCCTGAAGGGCAAACAGGAGTTAGCCAGGTGAATTCTGCAGACAGAGAGAAAGGTATTTTATAGAAAATATTGGTATGTACAAAAGCATAGAGGGATGAAAACAGTGTGTTCAGGGAATTTTAGCAGTTCATTATAGCTACAATTTGGTGGAAAGGGGCTAGAGATGATGATAAGTCAGCAACAGCCATATCAAGAAGGAGCTTGAGTGCCCTTCTCCTATAGCGCTCTCTGTATCTTTTTTCTGGCACTCTTGCAAATGCCTTATGTGATAGGTATTTGTTTATGCATCTACAAGTCCGAATTCAGGGCGCCAGCTCTGGGGGGAGGCTTTCTTTCTCTATTGGCTCTGGGGGAAGGTCCTTGCCTCCTTTCAACATCTGTAGGCCCAGCATTCCTTGGATGTCTCCATGTGTCATGGCTAGGAGGTTCTCAGCTCAGGGACCACAGGTCCAAAGGATGCACTCCACTTCTAGCTCTTCTTTGTTTGTGGTAGTGAGGTCGCTTCCTTCTCTGCTGCTTCTCTCTCATTTCTCTTCTCTCTTGTAAGATAAATGGTATGACTTAATCAAGGGTGTGACTTTGAGTAAGAGTGTGACTTAAGTAAGGGTGTGGCTTGAGTCACACCCTCTTGTAAGGCAGTGACCCAAGATACACTCACCCTAATCCTGCCTCATTAACATATACAGGTTAGGATTTATTACACATCACAAAATGGAGGATAATTATATCAGATCACAAAATGGAGTCCAACTACACTGTACTGGAAATCATGGCTTAGCCAAGTTGACACGTATTTTGGGGGGACCCAATTCAATCTACAACAGATAGTTTGCCCGGAATCACTGTTAACATTGTAGCAGTGCTAAAATTAAAATATTCAAATCCTGGGAACCTGGTTTCTTTCCAGTTTTCCATTCTACTTCCCATCTGTATATCCCCTGTAGGATTTAGTAGGTGCTGTTGAAAGGATGTGATGCCAGGTACCTACTAGGACTCAAATCATTTATCATTGATGATTGTTTTAGTTACTTTTTCCTTACTATTTAAAGAGCATTTAATTTCAACCCCAAAGCAAAAAGCAACATTTCAGACTTTATAGTATAAAATGACCTAGTAAGCCAATGGCCTACTGTGGCTATTTTTAATTTTGCTAATGAGAAGTCATATAATATGCATAAAAGTTATGACTCATCTTTTGGCTGGTATGTGGATTTTTTTTTTCTTAATGGCTTCTATTTAATTCAGCTTTTTAGACTCTTTGAATTGCAAAGTGACTCAGAGATGAGTTCTGTAATGTTTTAATCCTATCTGACATTCTAGAATGTGTCAGTCAGAGCCCAGAGCAGTCGCCAGTAATGGAGGATACCTCGTGTCTTTCCATTCCAGTTATACTTGTAGCTTTGGTCTAGTTTTCCATAGAATTGGGCATTATTCCACTGAAGAGAGGAGTGCTGAAGGATGAAATCCGGCTTTGCAGTCTATGAGAATATAGTTGTCTTAGTGACCTGTGTGATCCAAATCTTATAAGTGAGTAAGAAGTCCTAAATGATATTCGGTAATTGGAAAGTTAATGGTCAACTCTCCAGAACATACTCTTTTCAGTGAGGCAGCTGATACCCTAGGCTTAGAGTGGAGCATGGGAGGAGGGAGTGGGGAACAGTACCTCACCCACCTAGTTCTGCTTGCATTGGGTGAAATGGGAAGTGCCATCCAGCCATACTGGCCACTTAGTGATGAAGTTAGCCATTTTGAGATACTTCTGATTAGCAGAGTTCTACCATAGCCTCCAGACATTGCAGTACCTAGGAGAATAATTTCCACCCAGATCACTCCACCCATAGCACAGCTTGTTAAGATCTGGGCAGTTGTCAGTGGAAGGAGTTTGTTGTTCCCTCAGGTAGCCAAAAGGTAACCACATAATTAATAGGACATTTGGGATACCTATATTCTTGCCCAACAAATTGGTCTAGAGTCAACTGTGTACGTACTTTTGGACACTAAGTAAAACATTCCTGGGGAAGGGGCCTCTTCCTAGCACTTTATGATCAGGCATGTTAAGGTGGTCTTGGAAGGCCCAGTGGAGGGTATGGAGGAAGGGGCCACCCAAGGAAACCCATCAAACCCATTCATGTAATGGCATATAATATGCATAAAAGTTATGACTCATCGTTTGGTTGGAATCTGGATTTTTTTTTTTTTTTTTTTTTTTACTGACTTCTGTTTAATTCAACTGTTTGTTACATGATAACTTTTTACTAAGTGTACATTTCTTTCCTATCTTTTGTCTTTTTTAAAAATTCCACAAATAATACATGAATATATTCTCGTTGTATAAGATTTAAACAATGAAATACATATAAAACTACTATGAAAATTCCCTTTCAACTCCTTCTTTCTGTGTGTCCCCCATCTCACAGACCCACACACACTCATTCTCCCTGTCCCCATAGGTGTTCACTGTCAATTGTCTGGACTGCATTCTTCTGGTCCCCTTTCTATATATTTACAAAATCATAATAACTTTTAATATGAATTAATTTATAGGTGTGTGTGTGTATAAATACATGGGCTCATTTATTCAGTACATATTCTACAGCTTACTTTGTTCACTGACTATATACATCTACACCCTTAATGATGGACATTTTTCTATTACAAATAAGGAAGCAATGAATATCCTTGTGCATAATCTTGGTACACATGAGCAAGTAATCTTTAGGATAGATTTCTAGAAGTGAAATTGCCGAGTTAAAGGATATAACATTTCAAATTTTGACAGACAGTACTAGGTAACTTTCTAACA